TGTTAATGATAATTAACTTAGACCTGACATATTTGAGCTCCATCGGTCACGGGAATTTTACGAAATAAAAATTTAGCCTCTCGACATAATGTTCAATCTTCAATCCTGGTACGAAACAACTGGTCAGTGCTTCTTGGGTTTTTTTTATTGGTTTTCGGAGTAATATTAATTTATAATATAAATTGTACAAGTCAGTAAACTTCACAAACCCCCTATAATAATAAATTTTCTTATCATGGTTCTCAATAATGTGAGTTTTAGTGTGTTACTATACATTGAAACTTTCACATGGTTACATGTATACTTGGTAAATACAAACCAAGATAACTTTATAGCCTAAATCTATCAACTTTTACTTAAATACACTAATAAATTAAATTTACAAAATCTAATTATTCTTTTCTCTTTATAGTTTTTCCTCCATTTTCTCTACTTTTTTGAGTGTTAATTATGTAATTAGTTTATTGAATTTGGGTTCGTTTTATTACTTGTTAATGTCGTAATGTAAGGCCAAGCAATATTTCCCATCGAACTTGAACAAACAGACATTTACATAGTTGAAATCATGAGTCAATTGAAGCTAAACCACGATGGAAGACCTGAAAGCACTGGACGGCCATGTCGTACTATTGTGGGACTCAGCATAGCTCTGGCATGAGATTGGTAGGTCCTGGGTTCAAATCTCGTGAGGTGGGATCGTGGATGGGCGCTGCTGAGGAGTCCCAAAATAGGACGAAACGGCCGTCCAGTACTTCCACGTTTTCCATGGTGGTCTAGTTTCAAATGACTCATGTTTTCAACTATTGTATTTTAATTAAGTAACATTTCATTTCAATTAGCTTTAGAACATTAAAAAAATATTAATAATAATAAATGAATGGTTGATAATGAGTTTTGTTGTTAATGGATAATGCAAAGTTATTTTAATTGTCAATTAAAATTATATAAAAATGAATATTAATAGTTATCTAATTAAAATGGTAATTGATTGAGTGATTGACTGACGGGTTGTTACTGTTGTTGTTGTTGTTGTTGTTGTTATTGCTGGTCCTATTCATTAAATCACTTCAATATTACTTAATTCACTTAAATTCTTATTAATGAATAAATATACATTAAGAAAACATTAATTGGTTGTATTAGATGTCAATCATTTGATAATTAAGTTGTATATCTTTAAGTTATATGTAATTTATGTATAATGGTGACTTTTTCATTAGTTCAAGTGTTCGTATTTGTGTAAAACTATATATGTATAAACAATTTGAATGGGTGGATAGTGGCTAGCAGAAGAATCCAGGAGGCGCGTTTCGTTCTATTTGGGACTCGTCAGCTGGATGTACCTGCATCTCAAAGTTGATGTTCATTCTGAGACTCGAACCCAGTACCATTCGCTTCAAACGCCATGACGTTGTTCACTCAGATACTGAGTCCTGATAGCCACTTACTTGTGCAAGTGGCTAACGCGATGGCGTTTAAAGCGAAAGGTACTGGATTCGAGTCCCAGAGTGAACATCAACTCTGAGATGCATGTACACCCAGATGACGAGTCACAAATAGGACGAAACGCGCGTCCTGTATTCTACTGCTAGCCACTATCCATCTTTGCCTACAATACTTGTGAACTAAATCTATATTATTATTATTATCATTATTATTATTATTATTATTATTATTATTATTATTATTATTATTATTATTATTATTATTAAAGGGTTTATTCAATATTAAAATCTGGTACAATATAGAATTCTCAGCACAGTATGTACATATGCCAATTAGAGAGGGACCAGTTGTAGTCCTAAACATTGATGAGAAGATTCAAACAAACAATACTACGTGAATTTTAATGGGGTTAATTACTTACTTACTTACTTACAAACAAATGCTTATTACTCCTCATGGAGGAGTATAAGCCTTCTATAATCACTCTCTATCCTACTGTGCCTTGGACAATCCTTTCTAGTTGCTTTCAATTGCTATTCATCCTTTTTTCATATCTGCTTACAATTCTCGATGTAGTGTATTCTATGTGGCAGACTAGGTTTATTCAAAAAAATACGCTTGTAAATTTTTAAATTTGTGATGCATACATTAGAACTACACAAAGAATTGTACATATTCGTATCTCAGATGACATTCCATATAATTTGAGGCTTAGAGATCTAATGGCTCTAAACCGTGCAATAGTTCTATATTTAACTGATGCTGGGAATAATATCGAGATTTACAATTTTTCAAAATTACTTACTTACGCCTGTCACTCCCAATGGAGCATAGGCTGCCGACTAGCATTCTATAAACCACTCTGTCCTGGACCTTCCTTTCTAGTTCTATCCCATTTTTGTTCACTCTTCTCATGTCTGTCTCCATTTCTCGGCATAATGTGTTCTTTGGTCATCCTCTTCACCTTTGGCTTTTAAGATTCCATATGAGGGCTTGTCTTGTGACGTAGTTGGGTGACTTCCTCAATGTGTGTCCTAAAGTTTTCAAAATGGTCATCCTGAAAAATGACTCAGGTTCTGTTCAGTTTATCATAGTGATAGCAATCACAAAACTTAGACCAAATTTACGAGTATAGAAATAGACAGTAATCAACTTAACACTACCTTGCTAAATTCACTACTTTGACTAATATAATTGGCAATTATTATTTTATGGCATTATCATTATTACTATTTTTTGTCGTATTTATTTTGCTATACAATCTTTGCTAAGCTAATTGTTATTCAGAAGGGGATTTGTGGAGATTTCAGTATATTTCAAAGTTGAAACCATGAGGAGTCCCATAATAGGACGAAACGGCCGTCCAGTGTTTCCAGGTTTTCGATGGTGGTCTAGCTTCAATTGACTCATGATTTCAACTTTGAAATATAATTGTTATTCCATATTCACTAAGTTATGCATTCATTCATCTGCTTAACACTAATTCAATTCTCGAAATCTTTGTGAAACATTTAAATTCTTTATCATTATTAATCTGACCCATCGTGTTCATAACCACTTGATTGATCTAAATCTTCTATATTGTTATATTGATTGCTTGCCTATTAGAGAACAGTGAATTTATTGATCGCCCAATGATACACAAAAGCCGTATGAGCAATCTTGAGTATTTATTAGTCCTGCTTTCTGCATAGCCCAACGAGTTCGGTCCAGAACACCAATAACAGCCTCTGTAATATGAATCATTATTCACAAACATATTGGGTTTATATGTCAAACAAACAGACCACATCGTACGAATAAAATAGAAAATAACATTTGTATAAGATTTAGCTAAATGTGGCTATGAATAGGAGGGAACAGTAATTAATGGACTGGGTATAACTCATGAATGGTAAATCGTATAGTAATAGTCAAAATAAAGCCCATAATAAAAGGAACATGAATACAAATACTTTAGTTACTTAACAATTAGCAATTATACAATAGGAAGTATACATATCATATTGGTCCAGAAATAGTCCTCAAAAGTTACCATTCATAAATCTCTACGAGATATAACAATATATTTCTTTAAGTGATGTGAAATTTATGCAAACTTTTCACTGTGACACTAGTTTTTTTTAAATTAATTTTCTATGTCAACAGGTGGAAGTGTGAAATACATTTCGACTGATTCATATTTCAATTTTTCATGAGTTCGTTTTTAAAACTTTTCATTGTCAGTGTCAGGGACTGAATTTTGACTAACCACTTCTTTGACATGTCCATTCTCAACGAATTGCGTCGATGTACATACAAAGTTAGAAGTGTTTTAAGGGGAAAATGGACAGTGAATAACGATGTAATTCATGCTTCTCACATAGTCCCATATGCTACTCGTCTGGTGCGTACCGCTACATGTTCTCTTTACAACTGGGAGATTCAAAAGCTTAGCAATAAAAATAATAAGATTCATGCCCATTGCAAAATCTAATGTCTAGCTGAACTTAGTAGTTTAACTGATAATCCACTAGATGTTTGAAATGTAAGGTACTGGAGTTCACGTCCTGGTGCAAACATCGATAACAATACATCAGAATATATACAATGATGAAGTATATATGCATGTTTATGAGGAAGAAAGTGAAAAAAATAATTCTAAACAATTTTAACAATTGTATTCATTAGTCGATCTAAGCTAAACCACCATTGAAAACCTGAAATTTTTGGACAACCGTTTATTCCTCACATAGGACCATTAATTTAGGTATATGGAGTTGCCATCCAAACAAGCAAGAAATGCACTTATTGGGTGGACATCTCATGGATCTAGAATCACCAAAGTATCATTAAAAACAAAGAAGGAGGGCATTACAATGAATATTGTCCAATGCATCCAGGTTTTCTATGGTCGTCTAGCTTAGATCGTCTAATGAATTCAACTATTAAAATTACTATGATCTCTACAAATCCCCATTCTGCTAATTCTAAATAAATAAAAACTGAACAATTTTTATTTAAAATGATAAAAACATTTTTCTTCTCATCCAAATTTATTCCTTTAAAAAAAATCAATATTTTGTTCTATCAATAAAATAATCAATGATAATATACTTATAAGTCAGAAGGGATATTTTTGTGGATATTTCAATATTTTCATAGTTGAAATCATGAGTCAATTGAAGCTAGACCACCTTTGAAAACCTGGAAGCACTGGATGGCCGTTTCGTTCTATTATGGGACGCCTCATCAGTGCGCATCCATGATCCCGCACCCACGAGATTCGAACCTAGGACCTACCAGCTTCGCGCCGGAGAACTTAACCGATAGACCACTGAGCTAGCCGGCATCCAACTGTGTTCACGTCTAACTTCAACCGATCCACGATTTTGAGCAACCATTCACCCATTGTGGATGCCCACTGCTGAGGAGTCCCATAATAGGACGAAACGGCCGTCCAGAGGTTCCAGGTTTTCGATGATGGTCTAGCTTCAATTGACTCATGATTTCAATTATGAAAATATACTTATAACTCATATTTCCTGTTTATTTGTCTTTTACTTATTGAACAGAAGCAAATCCTGAAAAGTTCAATAGTCGTTTAAAGAATAAATTATTTTATGCTGGAGTAAGTTATAAATATGATTACTTTATTACAATTATAATATTGTCCTGATTGGTTCTAATTGACATCGATACATTTATATTAATGTTATGTCTAGAGGTTAGATTCTTGACATTTACTTACTTACTTACGCCTGTTACTCTCAATGGAGCATAGGCCACCGACCACTATTCTCCAACCCACTCTGTCCTGGACCTTCTTTTCTAGTTCTATCCAATTCTTAATATACCGTATACAATTTGAACACTCGAATGCTAGAACCTTCTAAGTTGCAAAATGAGAAGATATAAGGCAAGTGAAAGGAACGCTATTCAAGCATGGTACAAACTATCAGGTGTTTATAGGTTTTCCTTAGTAAAAACAAAATCATCATTATAGTCATCCAATCTACATACATGGGTTTTTAACATTTGTCCAATAGGGAGATTCTGGAATATTCTTCCAAAAGATGATTGGATGGAACATCTTCGGCTCGTTCTAAACTTCTTAAAGCTTCCTTGAGTTGACTTATGGGTTGTCCTCACAGTTAAGCTAATTAAAGTATCTTAATTAGAAAAGTTGTAACATAGTATAATTGAATAAATATGATCACAAATGACGTATCATACCAGTTAACTAAGATATCCAAGGTTTATTCTAATACAGCGTCATGTTAAGAACAACTGTTTTCCGTAAACTTAAATGTATTTCATATGTACCAGCCGGTGTTGATTACATTTCAGATATATTAATCATCTGAACAACAAAGCTAAATTATTAGTAGTTTTTTGTGGAGATTTAGTATTTTCATGGTTGAAAGCGTGAGTCAATTGAAGTTAGACCACCAGAAAAAACCTGGAAGCACTGGACGGCCGTTTCGTCCTATTGTGAGACTACTCAGCAGTGCGCATCCACGACCTCGCCTCGCGAGATTCGAACTCAGAACCTACCAGACTCACACTTTCAACCATGAAAATGCTAAATCTCCACAAAACCCCTTCTGATAATAATAACAATCATATGCTCACTAGTGACTGACTTCGAGAGGGAAATCCTGGAGCTCTAGCGAGAAACAGTGACCAGTGGAGTTCAACCACGTCTGTTGTGAGATAGAAACTCACTGAAGGCAATTGGTGAACGGTTGATCAGATTTCGTGGATTGGTTGGAGTTAGACATAAACACCATCAGATGCCCGCTCAGTAGTCTATCGGTTAAGTGCTCTGGCGCGAGACAGATAGGTCCTGGGTTCGAATCTCGTGAGGCGATGTTGTGGACGCGCACTGCTGAGGAGTCTCACAACAGGACGAAACAACCATCTAGTGTTTCCAGGTTTTCTCTGGTGGTCTAGCTTCAAATGGCTCACGCTTTCAACAATGAAAGCTAAATTAGGTTTATCTTAACTTCTCAAAGTATTTCAGAATAATCATATTCATAATTAATTTGCTAGAAATCATGATGTAATGTTTCAAACTCCAGTTTTATCTTTAATTATTAATCTCTTTATATGATCATCTTCGTATATTGCGAAAAAAAAGCTTGAGATTAATTAACTGATTTCAACTTTTTTTCACTGTCAAAAGTTAAGCGCGTTGATGTGTCGCTCAGATGAATGTTGTGGGCAGAATTTTGTTCTCTGAGCTGGACGGTATAGTCAAGGAGCTTTCATAGATCTTATGACCAACATCATCATCATCATCATCACAAACTACAGGCAGAAATGAAGTTTTCCAGTTTCTTCACAGATGACTCATACATTGTCCTGTTGACCTCAATCTTGATTGGTTATTGTTGACCTTTAATATGTCATTGTCTACCTCTTCATTTTAAGTGTGACTCCGTCCACAAGTTAAACGCATTTCAAATGTTCCACATAATTTTTATATAGTTGAAATCATGAGTCAATTGAAGCTAGTCCACCATGGAAAACCTGGAAGCACTGGACGGCCATTTAGTCCTATTATGGGACTCCTCAGCAGTGTTTCATTCAATGTTCTGTAGATGCTTTGGAAGATATAACATAGCTGTTTTTTTAATAAATAATGCAGTTTCTAACAGCGTTGGTCATAGATATCAGAAACTTAGTACTGACCGAACATCTGGTTGATATTTTAAATTATGAAAGATGCAACCCGAGTTCATATACGATAGATATTATTAGTGATCATAAAAACTAGGAGTAGACATTATTGACGAGTACCAACTGATAAAGAATCACCTGTCGGTTAATTTCGATCACTTGACAAAAAGCCCTAAATTTTTAGTCAAGTTAAAATGATTTGCCTCAGTCTGAAATGCTTTTAGAGGTATGCCGGTGGTTATCACTTCCCGGCTGCCTACACTGTAGAAGGGCTCTTTTAGATGTACCTGAAAAGGAAGTTGGATTAGAGGTGATCTTGGTGACCTGAAAGCGTAACCACAATCCCCAAGGGACAACTGCTTGAGTTTGGTCACACACGACCATTTTGTGATTAATTTTCGTGCTAGCTCCGTACTTGGTAAGACCTTACCACCGGAGACGGATATCCGTGGGATAAGGTGAGGTGTGTAATTGTAGGGTCGACCTTTTCTAACCACACCCCTCCTTGCGAGAAGGCAGCATCGCTGTTATGCTGGCTGTCTGAAGGAAACACCTTACTGTCATCACACCTCTGTACAGTCAGCCATACAGCTTCGTCTTCGGTTTGCTGCTTTTAGTCTTACCTCTCTTTGACCGAGCTTTCTGACATGGTAAGACGTTGAGGAACGATTTTCCTAGCAAGTATCGTTCGATAGGCAAGCTAGAACATCACTTCGAAATAGCAACAACGGTCGAGGCTGTCTACTAGTTGTTTTGTTTTGTAAGCTCAATAATCTTCAAGAAAACTTTTAACATATCATGTGTCACTATAAATTGAAATGATAAAACAAAAGATGCTTTACTCACTCCATGATAACTTATTTGTTTAGGCTAGCTAGACTATCATTTATATGATAAATAAAAGAAGGTGTAATCGTCTGAAATTTTCTCAAAAATGAAAAATATACACATCTGTTGTGTACCTACATCATTGCTAATATCAATTGATTGGATAAATCATATTCAATGTTAATATATTGTAAATAATTATACCTACCAAAGCTTTCGATAATGTTTTTTTAATTGATTTTATCTAAAAAGAAAAAAAAAATTTAAATATTTACCTTTCTTACCTTATTTTTTCAGCTTGGTGGGAAAGATTTACTTCGACGAAGTTGGCGTGATCTATCTGAACATATCACACTTATCGTAAGTTTATGGTTAACATTAGTTTAATTGTCCCCTAAATGCTCTGGTACGACCGAGAAAGGGGAGATTCCACTCTCTCTCTCGAAATGCTTTCACATAGTCACGCGTATATAGCCTCTACCAGGGAAGTCCTACTCACTGCATTTTCGTGGCACTATTGTTGTTTCTGAAATTGAGAGGGCAGAAAGTGAATGTCCGGAGCTTTAACCGGGTTGGTGGACACGGAAAGTTCACCTACGGGAGTTGGAAAACCCTGATTTCCAAACCATTGATGCACATGGCCTCCAGTATCCTGAGGAAACAAATGGCGTATGAATCAATCGTTGGTTACCGTCTACAACGGGACTGTATCTCCTCACGATGCTTCACTGCCTTGTGGATCAGATCTTTGGGTCAAAAGCTCGGGGTGTGGCCCCTTAAGAAAACCACCTGCTTCGGTTTGGGCACGTGGGCAGTATCACAATCCTCACATAAATCAAATGAGATTTGTGCGGCGCATATGTATTTGGTGCTTCCTTGTACCAATATTTATGTGTTTACATAAATAAATAAATTTAATTTAATTAACATAATATTTCTTTTAAGGAATAACTTTCATTAGAATACTAATAAATGAGTAAAATTACTAGTGAAATAACGAGAACCTCTTTTATTTTTAAAGGAGAGACATATTAAGTGAAGTTCAACTAATTAAGAGGTACAAGTAAGAATTTGTGTATATTTAATTTTGATATTTTGGACGGAACAAAATCTGTCTTCATTGATAATATAGGCTTCTTCAGTGTATACCTTCATATATTCCGGATAGTTGTTTGCTTTTTATTAATTTATTTTATTTAAACACATAAATATTGGTACAAAGAGGCACCAGATATATATGCACCACACAAATCTCATTTGATTTGTGTGAGGGCTGTGATACTGCCCAGGTGCCAAACTGAAGCAGGTGACTTTCTTAGGGAGCCACACCCGGAGCCTTTGACTTAAAGGTATGATTCACAAAGCAGTGGAGCACCGTGAGGAGATGCAGTCCCATGATAGCCAGTGGCCAACGATTGATTCATACGCCATTTGTTCCTTCACGATACTGGAGGCCATGTGCACCATTGGTTTGGAATGAGGGTTTTCCAACTCCCGTAGGTGAACTTTCCGTGTCCACCAACCCGGTTAAAGCTCCGGACATTCACTTTCTGCCCTCTCAATTTCAGAAACAACAATAGTGCCACGAAAATGCAGTAAGTAGGACTTCCGTAGGTGTGGCTGTATATGCGTGGCCATGTGCCTGTTTAACTATAGAATATACGTAAATCTAGTGAACAAATTCCAAGTTGAAATGTACTACATGGATTCCACTACTAATAGCTATTTAATAGTTTATTTTAAAGTTATCGCTGTTTTCATATGAAACATAATAATGATATCATGAACCGACTTCAGTAGGACATCTATTAGTAACGAGGAAGTACTGCGGAACTGTTTAACCTTAGCATTGAACTTGTTAACAGTGCACATCCACGACCATACCAAGTGATTGGATCCAGGAAATTTGGTCTCGCGAGCAAATGCCTAACGTCTAGATCACCAAACCATCGTGCAGTGGTTTAAGTATCGAACTTAAGTTAATCGGTGATAATAGACAACCATTTTCTGTGGTTGAGTGGGTCACATCTTCACACTAGACACGGTTGAGTTCTTTTAGTTACAGCTTTTCATTGAAACTCTGGACTTGTCTTCTCAAAATTCATCATTGGCGGAAACATAATCGTCATCGGCATAAGTGAGTTAAAGAGATTACTCCGCATTCATAACATAAACCAGTTCGTGTTATTAATGACAAAAAAGAAATATCCTCACAAACTTTCAAAATGATGAACTAGCATGCCGTACTACCACTTTTTTGTGTTCAATGTCTCTGTCATATAATTGTAAATAAACTTTACGTTTCAAATTGTAGATTTAAGTTTTGCTCTACTCCTTGTTACTCTTTTTGAGGATCGCTTAGACATATTTTACAGATTTTAACAAATATACATCAGAAGGGGTCTTGTGGAGATTTCAGTATTTTCATAGTTGAAATCATGAGTCAATTGAAGCTAGACCATAATCGAAAACCTGGAAGCACTGTACGGCCGTTTCGTTCTATTATGGGACTCCTCAGCAGTGCGCATCCACGATACATCAATTTAAAACATCTGGTCAATACCATATAAAATAAAGTTATTTCTTTAATTCATAAAGATATTAATTGGTTAATAACCTTACTTTATTTACTCATATGTTTCTGTGAATACTTGGAATTAATTATTATAGAAATTACTGCATAGTTAAACTATATGAACTTCATCAACTTATTTAGCCATTTAGTTAAACGATCATAAAAGTTTGATAGAACAGTTCACAAGCTCTCATTAAATGCTGTTGCTGAATCGAGAACTAGTAAATTCTACTTATCGGTATTCTCATAAAGCTGTCCACTGATAATAGTAGATATAAACCATTACGTTTGCTAAGGTGAATAAATAACACGATTCCTTCCAGATATTAGTTAATGTGTACAGTTATAAATGTGCTGTGTCGAAAAATATTGAAATAAGACCTATCATCTCAGGTATTTTCCTTAGAGATTATCAGTAACTATTATAGTAAATAATTTTTATCATGATCAACATTTTAATGATAGAATATAAATGACTTTAATTGGTATTTAGTACTGTTGTTTGGATTACTTACATCTACATAAGTAGTATATAACGATGACCAGGCATTGAATGTATTTCAATAGAAGATCGATAATGAAAGAACGGGAATGAAACGCAATCGGTATAAAAATACATGAACAATAATAATCAGAGATGATGTACTGATAATTGCAGAAGGAACGGTGAAGATTGAGACAATTGATGGAGGATTTTCAAATGATGTATTGAATGTATGGTGTTAAAATATAATTTATCATCCCCACTTGTGTTCTCAATCACAGCAACAATACCTACTATATGGCTATCAGATTTTAATGAGATATTCTGTAATTTTGTGCTTGAATATATTCGATTGCCCGCAATCGTGTTCTTGATCACCACAGTACACTATATTAAAATATCAATTCATCAATCTTACTGAATAATTTGTCAACGAAAAATGTAATTTATAAAATTACACAATACTGACTAACATTAATATTGTGGTGTATGCTACTTATGTTGAACTAAGTAGTATATAACACTAATCAGAAGTGGAATATCTGGTAGTGGAAGATCAAACTGAAGTAAACAGTAACAAAGTGTAACTGTAATAACAATGAAGGAACTATGAAGTTTGAGACAATTTATGAAGGATTTGCAAATGATGTATTGAATGTATGGTATTAAAATATAATTGGTCATCTCCCCTTGTGTTCTCATTCAGAACAACATCACTTATTTCTGTCTGATTCATGTCTGGTTTATAATTCAGAAAAACCAAAAAAAATGTACTATCAGTGCAATTAGCAATTTTGCATGAAATCTATATCAACTTCGTGCATTGGTTGAAGTTAGACATTAACATCAACGGATGCCAGCTCAGTGGTCTATCGGTTAAGTGCTCTGGGGCGAGACTGGTAGGTCCTGGATTCGAATCTCGCTAGGCGAGGTCGTGAATGCACACTGCTGAGTAGCCCCACAATAGGACGAAAAGACCGTCAAGCAGTGCTTTCAGGTTTTCCATGATAGTCTAGCTTCAATTGACCCATGCTTTCAACTATACAAAGAGAAAAAAGAAAAGAAATTGTCGACAGATCATTAAGCAGAAGCAACAAACTAATATTTAAAAAAAAAAAGAAAACTATGCGAATGTTAATTTTTCTCAAAAGAACTGTTTTACATTTCATTAGTTTTCTCTCATCTTTTCTATTCTATTTATATTCATTAGAATTTAAACACTTTATATTTCTCCTTTTTTTTGTTTATCATTGATCATTGAATGTTGTACACCAATTTAATTGTAGTTAATTATTAAAGCAAATAGTCCCCTTTGATAAATTTCGATAGTGTAGTAATAAGAAGACAAAGATTATCAGAATTATGTGATGATGCATTAGTGCAATACACTTCGAACAATCTGATCACACATATACTTGTTAAGAACATCACATAGTTCTGATAATCTTCATCTTCTTCTATTACATTATCAAAGTTATTCACTAATTATTTTTAGGATTAAAGCATGAGATCGTTTTTTTCCTTTTTCCTTTTCTTTTTCTTTTTACTTATTAATTATCAATTGAATAAAAGAAAGAAAGAAAAAAAAAGAGCAAACAAAAAACTGACGATTTTCTTCGAAATTTCTTTATAAAAAAAAACAAAACAAACAAACAATAATTATCCGAAGGGCGTTTTGTGAAGATTTTAGTAATTTTTATATAGTTAATATCATGAGTCAATTGAAGCTAGATCACCATGGAAAACCTGGACAAACTGGATGGCCATTTCGTCCTATTGTGCGCACTGCTGAAGAGTTCCACTCATGATCTCAACTATAGAAAACAATAATTACTCTAAATTCATTTAGTATTGTTTGTTTGAATCTTGCCATCGATGTGTTAGAACTGCAACTGATCAGTCTTTATAATTGGCATATGTGCATACTGTGCGTATTGCCTCAATATAGCCTTAATTCACAAGCATTGTAAGCAAAGATGAATAGTAGCTAGTAGTGGAATCCAGTTTGACGCGCGTTTCTTCCCATTTGGGAGTAGTCAGATGAATGTACCTGCATCTGAGAGTTGATGTTCACTGTAGGACTCGAACCCAGTACCTTTCGCTTCAAACGCCATCGCGTTATCCACTCAGCTACTGAGTCCTGACAGCCACTTGCTTGCGCGATGGGGTGAAACGCGCTTCCTGGATTCCACTGCTAGCCACTTACCATCTTTGTTTACCATGCTTAATAATTACTCTGTTTGTTGATGTCTTTTTTCTGTTTTAATTGAGAGTTAAGTGTTGATTACAGTTTAACCTTAATTGTTATTATTTATTTATTGTTTTATTACTTTTTATCCATTTCTTAATCTTTTAAGTGAAATAAAGAAACAAAAACAATAGAAAAACAGTTTCAGTAAAATATGGGTGTTGAACATAAGGAATAGAAGAGTTGCTAAGTAAACTTTTCAAGTTAAACAGAATTTCTAAAAAGAAAAAGGATATAATGTATATTTAGACAATAAGGCCGTTGTATCATGTGGCATATATATGTATATGGACAAAAAATGACTCTTACTGTAGTGGCTAAGTACTATATCAAGCTGACATGGATTGTTCTAGCTTCTGGACAAACTGATTTTTTTCATTATTGTCAAATCACAAATTACCTTGCCAGTTATTCACTTATTACCTTTGGCTATTTTTATATGATCATTACTTGCATGTAACTTATTTTTGTTTGACTATAAATATCTAGTCTTTCTTTGAACACTAGCCTTCTCGGTAAGGCTATAATTTATCGACAAAGGAATTAGATTTAGGATAACAAGTGTTGGATTTTGGAGTAAATATCATTCTTCCGTTTGGCAAAATAACGTTTTGGCATTTTAACTGATATCACTTAGTGATGAAAACTTTAAGCCTAATCTATAATCCTAACCATTAGTCGTTAATCATAATTTTAATTCCTCACGCTGGTTTATAACTCTTATTTAGTCTTAGGAAGTAGGTGGACATTCTCAAGATCACTTAAGCGTCGTTCAAAGGCCATCCATAAACTATAGGCTCATCGACTTCTCGATCACGTGCCATTTTGTTCCACTTCGCTTTCTTCTCTTGACCTCCTTCGATTCGTTTTCCTGATTTTCTGTTCAGATCAATGAGTGTACGAAATATACGTATTCAAACTTCGAACTCCAGTACCTTAGATTTCAAACATCTAGTGGATTATCGGTTAAACTACTAAGTTCAGCTAGACATTAGATTTTGCAATGGGCATGAATCTTATTATTTTTATTGCTAAGCTTTTGAATCTCCCAGTTGTAAAGAGAACATGTAGCGGTACGCACCAGACGAGTAGCATATGGGACTATGTGAGAAGCATGAATTACATCGTTATTCACTGTCCATTTTCCCCTTAAAACACTTCTAACTTTGTATGTACATCGACGCAATTCGTTGAGAATGGACATGTCAAAGAAGTGGTTGGTCAAAATTCAGTCCCTGACACTGACAATGCTAAGTTTTAAAAACGAATTCATGAAAAATTAAAAGATGAACCAGTCGAAATGTATTTTACACTTCGACCTGTTGGTGTAAAAAATTAATTTTAAAAAACTAGTGTTACAGTGAAAAGTTTGCATAAATTTCACATCACTTAAAGAAATATATTGTTATATCCCGTAGAGATTTATGAATGGTAACTTTTGAGGACTATTTCTGGACCAATATGATATGTATACTTCCTATTATATAATTGTTAATTAACTTAACCATTCATATTCATGTTCCTTTTATTATGGGCTTCATTTTGACCCATAGACTATTAAAACACGATTTACCATTCTTGAATTATCTCCAGTCTATTGATTACTGTTCCCCCTATTCACAGACACATATGGCTAATTATCAGAGGGGGTTTTGTGAAGATTTAGTATTTTTCATAGTTTAAAGCATGAGTCAATTGAAGCTAGACCACCATGGAAAACCTGGAAACACTGGACGGTCGTTTCGTCCTATTATGGGACTCCTCAGCAGTGCGCATCCACGAACTCGTTCTCGCGAGCGAGATTCGAACCCAGGACCTACCAGTTTCGAGCCGAAGCCCTTAACCGATAGACCACTGAGCTGGCATCCAACGGTGTTAATGTCTAACTTCAACTGATCCACGAAGTTGAGCAACCATTCACCAATTGTCTTCAGTGAGTTCCTATCTCACAACAGACGTGATTTTGAACTCCACTGGTCACTGCTTCTCACTAGAGCTCCTAGTTATGCTTCTCGAAGCCACTGGTGAGCATATGATTATATTAATTATCAGAGGGGGTTTTGTGGAGATTTATATAGCTAAATCTTGTAAGCATGTTATTTTCTATTTTATAGGTACGATGTGGTCAGTTTTTCCGATATATAAACCCAATATGTTTGTGAATAATAATGCAGAGGCTGCTATTGATGTTCTGGACCGAACTCGTTGGGCTAGGCAGATAGCAGAACTGATAAGTACTCAATACTGCTCATACGGCTTTTGTGTATCATTGGATCCGATCGATAATTCACTCCTCTCTAATTGGCGGTCGTATAACGTCATATAATAACTAGGCACGCACGCACCCACTCACTAACTCGATATAACAGATTCTTTTCAATCATCATGTCTAACTTGTTAGTATTTATGTTATCATCAAAAAAAGTAATAGATAGTTTACCTACGGATGTTAGACTTGTGTTAAAAATAAGATATTTTTGGTAAAACTTTATTATTTTCTTTATTTATCAACTCACTGAAGCCAATCTATGAACGGTTGCTCAATTTCGTGGATTGATTGAAGTTAGACAATAATATCATCGGTTGCGACTCAGTGGTCTAGTGGTTATGCGTTCACGAGCAAGACTGATTGGTCCTGGATTCGAATCTTGCGAGTGCAGGATCGTGAATGCTCATTGCTGAGGAGTCCCATAATTTGATAAACACAGCCGTCCAGTGCATCCAGGTTTTCTATGGTGGTCTAACTTCAATTGACTCATGATTTCAGCTATGAAAATAATGAAATCTCCACGTAAACCATTTTCTTTATTTTTTTTCTATTTTTGTCTTTTCTTTTATTATAGTGTGATGATAAAGATTTAACTCCACTTATTCATAGTTTAAAACCACATTGTATATTATTTTTAAATATTCCAAGGTAAGTCAATTATCAAGATTGTGAACATTTATTGATTATTATTATTATTATTATTATTATAAATAATGGTAGTAGTAATAGTAGTATTAGTACTATTATTATTATTACTATTATTATTATTATTATTATTATTATTATTATTATTATTATTTTTATTATTATTATTAGGTACCCACAATACTAAAGAAACTGATGAGGAATGTTTTTAACTTAACATTCTTCTTGAAAATAACAATCGAAATCAGCCATTGTCATTATAAAGGTCACATATTTTTCATCCTTAACCGTGCACACATACACACACCTACAAATCTACATACATGTCGCTTATGAATTACCTTGACATGACATTGACTTCTACAGAACTGCTTTCTGATTGATTACACCTAATATTCGTGTTGTTTCATTAAACTATTTAAACTTGGATTAATGTGAATTTGCTTATTTATTTTCTCTGAAGAAGTGACTTACATTTGAGTCATGAAACATCAAAAAATCTAATTTTTCTACTCATTTGGAATATTACAAATATATTATTCATTTAGTATTGTTTGTTTGAATCTTCCCATCGATGTATTAGGACTGCAACTGGTCAATCTCTAATTGGCATGTGTGTATACTGTGCGTATAGGACGAAACGCGTGTCCTGGATTCTACTGTTAGCCACTATCCATCTCTGTTTATATATATTATTGTTTATTTATAAGTGAATATTTATATATTATCAGTTAAAGTCTAAAAAGGTTAATGAGCTTTATTGATCCTGCGAATTATCCAATAAGACTTTGTTTTTAATGTAATCAAATTTGTGACAATGGAATTTCATTATAGTATTAGAAGATGATACCGATGGGTTAATGATATCAGAAAGAACATTTTATGTAAATTATGTTCATTGGTATTAAGCCTTAGAGAAAACTTCATTTTGGAATCTATAGCCCAATATATAACATATATATGATAATGCAACGTTTTTAGACTCCTTTCACTAATCATTAGAGAGGTTACAAATAATTGATAACATGTTTGTTTCTTATTAAAACACAGTGGATAACGTGATAGCGTTCGAAGCGTAAGGTATTGGGTTCGAGTCCTACAGTGAACATCAACTCTCAGATGCAGGTACATCGGGCTGAAGAGTTCAAAATAGGACGAAATGCGTGTCCTGGATTCCACTGCTAGCCACTATTCATCTTTGCTTACAATGTTTGTGAATTAAGGCTATATTGAGGCAATACACACAGTATGCACATATGCCAATAAGATACTGACCAGTTGCAGTCCTAAACATCGATGGGAAGATTTGAACATAACAATACTAAGTGAATAATAATAACTTTTACTTTTGTCTTATGAAGTAATAAGACTTACCTAATATGAAAATCAATAAAATTGTTTATTGAGTTATGTTAGTCCAAGAAAAAGACAAAAGTTCGGAAACTTCATCTAAACACACAAATAAGGGGTTATTAGTTCGAATCTCTACAGAGTCCTGTAGAAGTAGGAGAGGGAATGAAAACTCTATTAGGAAATGATTCCGGTATACAATAGATAACTCGAGAAGATTTGGTTTCTTGGGTGATGTGATCATCCTGAGTGATCTATTGTATGCCTGGGTTTTTTCCAACGGGGTTCGATTCCGTCTCATACATATAGCAGAAAGTATGTAGATCCGAGTCTCTGACACCAGTTCACGCCTTCTGAAGGAGTTTGTACCACCCCTGTCCCTTTCTTTTTGAGATTTGACCTAATAAACGATCTTAATAACTTCAAATCTGATATTTATTTGAGGTTCTTCATCTCATTCCGTTTGTATTCCTTATTATCTGGCCACTGATACATTTTTATAACCATAAAAACGTGGATTTCTACTTGCATGTGTTTGTATTATTTTTGATAGATATGGATCTGGCACCTTGCCATGGGGTCAACCAACAACAGAATTCCAACCTCAAAGAATTGATGATGGATATATTGAAGTCATAGGTCTTACATCGACATCATTGGTAAGTTGAAGTACTCTTACTCCCTGTCTGTCGTATCGTTGAAAATTATCAGAATATTAAAAATACGTGTATTTTTCTGTTGTTATGCTTAAATCAGAATATTGTGGCGAAAAAGCTTTGAAGCATCTTTGACATGATTTTGAATGCCATTCACCGTGTAAGTTTCTACAAACCTACACACCTTAGTGACAAGTATCCACAAGCAGAAAACTTAGTTTCAGATATTTCTCTTGAACAGCATCAGTCATCTAGTATGATAACTTATTTACCTAGAAAACCATGGAAATACAGGAAACACTATGTAGTTGCTTTGTTCCAGTTACCACCAAACCCCTGTACTAATAATAATAATAATAATAATAATAATCATATAGACACTAGTAACTAATTTTGAGATTGTTCTGGAGTTTTAGTAAGAAACTATAACAAATATAGTTTAAAAACATCCAGTGTGAAGTAACTACCCACCGAATACATTTGAAGACGGTTGAGTGATATTACCGATTTGTTGAAGTTGGACATGTAAACCATTTACCCCTAACTCAGCGATCTAGAGATCAAGTATTCGCCGCAAAACCTAAAGGTCCCATGTTCGATATCAAAAATTGAGGGACTCTTTAAATTTCTTTGTCAAACACCTAATCATCTATAATATTTTGCTTAAATTACACATCGAAAATCATATACTTTTCAATGCATACATTATTATAGGCAACTTTACAAATAGGTGGACATGGTGATCGAATTTGTCAATGTCGTCGTGTTCATCTTACAACAGATATAGTTATCCCTATGCAAATGGATGGTGAACCATGTCGTTTAATGCCATCAAAAATCGATATATTTTGTTCACATCAAGCATTAGTTATTCAAAAATTAACCCGTTCACCTATTTCAGCTGTAATGAGTAACGAGTAAGTTTATTTATAATGTTTGTTGAAATAATTTTGATATTCATTGAAGATTGTTAGTAAATTGATTCATTAATTAAGATGTAACCGATGGAAATATACAACATCACCAATAAAAAGCTGATAACTTTCGATTTGTAATGCTGTGTATCATCCATCTTTGAAGAGGGCAACTTAATTTGCATTCTGGTATCATACAGTAAAGATAATGAACAATTTCTTTTTATTCTTGGTCCATATAGATCTTAGTAGAATCATTATTTAATAAAAATATGCTTCTTTGTTTTCTTTTTTAAAGTGAACTAATATTGAACTCATGATACTAATGACATACTGACTGAAATGTACAATTGTGTTGTATAAGTAACATGAAATATTTTCATAGTTGAAATCATAAGTCAATTGAAACTAGGCCACCATGGAAAACCTGAAAGCAGTGGACGGACGTTTTCTCCTACTATGTGACTCCTCAGCAGTGCGCATCCACGATATCACCTCTTGAGATTCGAACCCAGGACCTACCATTTTCGAGCCGAAGCCCTTAACCGATAGACCACTGAGCCGGTGACTGACTTCAAGAGATATCTCTTGGAGTTCCAGTGGGAAGCAGTGACCAGTGGAGTTCAACCACATCTGTTATCAACTCACTGCAGACAACTGGTGAATGACTGCCCAACTTCGTGGATTGGTTGAAGTTAGACATCAACAACGTTGGATGCCGGCTCAGTGGTCTGTCTGTTAAGTGCTCTGGCTCGAGACTGGTAGGTCCTGGGTTCGAATCACGCGGGTGCGAGATCGTGGAGGCTCACTGCCACTGCTCACTGCCAGTCATCCATATGGCTCCATAATAGTTGGTCTCCGGAGCCATGAACAGGTCACAAAAACTCTCTCAGTCTCGACCACATAGCTTCAGTTTTGTTTGTGTGTGCTCCAGTTGTGTAAGTTTATCATTTTTATTACGGATATGTCCCTACAATACTCATACCACTAAACAGCCGTAGCTTCAATAACATCTGCGATCATTACAACCAATGTTACTGATGCTTTTATTTTGCAGCTTGCGGCAATTATTGTAATATGCCTTGTTCTCAATCTGGATCGAGCGGTAACAAACGGCTTCCTTCAACATATATTACATCAAACGACAACATCACAGTAGTCTGCAAAACGTCTACAAGTCACTTAATTACCACTGTCACAAATAAAGGAACCTCTTAGTAGTCTCATTTGTTGTAGCCGCTTAATTGTCAAGTCTTCTCTAAAATTCTCTGTAAACCGATTGTACATGAGCATCAGGCACTGAAATTGGCGCCGTGACCTTGAAATCCTTCAAACGCTTCTGATTGGCTCGTCCACAAGTTATAGTCTCGCGAATTTTTTTAAAAAATGAAGTTGTTTAATAATTTCTTTTTTTATAAGAAAAAGAAACAATAAAGAACCTTTCCACTTTTTGGCATATAATTCCCATCTAAATATTAAAATTAAAACATGAAGTTCGGCGAAGGGATCTCCAATAACCAAGATAACGTAATAGAAATCTTTCTATTATATCATCTTGGTTATTAGTGTTCACATTTCCTCATATATATACGATTGTACAACTTGATGATAAATTCGTTGAAAAGAGATCCTTTCGCTGAACTTCGTGTTTTAATTTCCATTTTTTAACTAAATAACTAATCAACTACAAAGAAAAAACATACTCATTTGGTTAAATTATATTTTGATTATTACATTTCCATCATTTGTAATTTCGTAGACCTGATAGGCATTTCATTGTTTGCATGACTGGTTTTCATATAAATGTAATGAATGATAAATTGAGCAGAAGAATACAATAAGCGTAGTTGATGTATAGACCAATGCTATTTTTTTTATTCGTCCAAAATAATGAAAAAACCTATATTCGATTGTGAACTAGTTTGGAATCTTACAAAGAATCTCTCCAGGCGGGATCGTGGATGCGTACTGTTGAGGAGTCCCAAAATAGGACGAAGTGGCCATTCAATGCATCCAGGTTTTCCATGGTGATCTAGCTTCAATTGGCTCATGATCTCAACTATATAAAATTACTGAAATCTCCACAAACCCCTTCCGATCTATAACATGAAATGGTCAACATTTAATATATATCATCATTAAATCATGATCTGACAACTTCATTTTGACGATAATCTAAGAAATTCAAATATAAATTCTGTGAGATTTATGATTCAATGATTAAAAGAGCATTCATTATGTAGAGATATTACTTATTACAGGCGGAGTTATGTAATATTTAGATGGGAATTATATGCCAAAAAGTGGAAAGGTTCTTTATTGTTTCTTTTTCTTATAAAAAAAGAAATTATTAAACAACTTCATTTTTTAAAAAAATTCGCGAGACTATAACTTGTGGACGAGCCAATCAGAAGCGTTTGAAGGATTTCAAGGTCACGGCGCCAATTTCAGTGCCTGATGCTCATGTACAATCGGTTTACAGAGAATTTTAGAGAAGACTTGACAATTAAGCGGCTACAACAAATGAGACTACTAAGAGGTTCCTTTATTTGTGACAGTGGTAATTAAGTGACTTGTAGACGTTTTGCAGACTACTGTGATGTTGTCGTTTGATGTAATATATGTTGAAGGAAGCCGTTTGTTACCGCTCGATCCAGATTGAGAACAAGGCATATTACAATAATTGCCGCAAGCTGCAAAATAAAAGCATCAGTAACATTGGTTGTAATGATCGCAGATGTTATTGAAGCTACGGCTGTTTAGTGGTATGAGTATTGTAGGGACATATCCGTAATAAAAATGATAAACTTACACAACTGGAGCACACACAAACAAAACTGAAGCTATGTGGTCGAGACTGAGAGAGTTTTTGTGACCTGTTCATGGCTCCGGAGACCAACTATTATGGAGCCATATGGATGACTTCCTCCACCTTATGCTTTACGATTTTAAAATCTTTGAACGTTTGTCTAATCTTGATAAGTTTTTTGACCATATAAAAGTGGTTTATCCACTTTAATTATTTGGTTCTGTATAGTATATTTTGCTCTATGCTGACTGTTTACTTATTGGTTGACATTTTCAAGGTCACTTAAGATTCTCTCAAAGGTCGTCCATAAATTATAGTCTCGCCAAAAATTCAATCAAATATTGCACCAAATAAATAGATTAATCTTGTCCGTGAAAGACAACTATCCCCATGATCTCTATATTTCAGGAATATACAATGTATTATAGGATTACATTCGTAGCGTAGTGAACAAGGACATGAGTGGGGACAATTGAATGTATTTTAGGCACAACATTACAGAATATCTCAATAAAATTTGGCAACCATACAGTAAATAGTTAATTTTGCAAAATAACAATCAATTGTCTCAATTTAACGGTTTCTTCTGTAAATATCCGTGTCCATAGTCTCCAGTTATAATTGTTCATGCATTTTCATACGAATTGAGTGACGTTCCCATTCTCTCCTTATCGATCTTCTGCTGAAATACATTCAATGCCCACCATCACCATATACTACTTATATGGTTGTCAGTAATCCACACCACAATTGAACTGAGTTTTATTTAAGTCATTATTAAAGTTTAATAGAAAAAATTCTCTCGGCTAATTGATTGGTTAATTTCATGTTTATCTTAAGAATGCTTTGGTATTTTATTCTATAAACAAGGAGAACTAATTCATCATTTTTATGGATTAATGATAAAAATGTTTTTCTGTGGGAGACTTTTTTGTCGCCAGTATCAAACTGAGCAACGAAAAAAACATTGTCAAATGATTTATTTTTGATCCGTTACTTATTGACGTATGTGCATCTTATGCAGATTGCTTCGATATTTCCTTCAGTCACGAGCAGTATAAGCAGGGATTGATGTTGACTAGCAGTGAAAGCCAAGGCATGCATTTCGTCCCATTTGGGATTCATCAGCTGTATTTGCTTGCATCTCAGAGTTGATTTTCATTTCGGGACTCGAACCAATGAGACTATAATTTATGAACAACTTTTGAGTGGAGCTACAGTGACTTTGGGAGTGTTTACCTTATAACTAGGATTGAATGAGGGTTATAAATCAGTGTGAGGAATTAGAATTATGATTTAAAGTTGATAGTTAAGGTTAGGAGTTAGATTTAGGTTTTTCATCACGAAGTAACATCAGCTATGATGCTAAAACTCTATTTAGCCAAATGGATAAGTGAATTTTGCGCTAAAGTCCGAGAGTTGTTATCATACACTTGATTGGTTCGTCTATAAATTACAGTCTCCCTCTCGAACCCAGTAATAACACTGGGGACTCATGGCTATATCAAGGCAATCCCGGCTGGATGCACATATGCCAATAACAAACTGTTTAATTGCAGTCCTACACATCGATGGGAAGATTCGAATAACCAATAGAAAAACGAAATAAAACTTCACCCCATCGCACATTCTAGTGGCTATCTGAACCCAGCAACGAAATAGATTACGTCATGATGTTTGAAGCAAACGATATTGGATTTGGGCGCCAAAGTGAATATCGACTCTGAGATAAGAGTACATACAGCAAATAGTACGAAACGCTCCTTCTTGATTCCACTTCTTGCCACCATCCATCTCTACTTATAATCGATTTTCACACTGGTTATTAGTCTTAACAAACTAACTTTAAAGTTTTTTTTCTATAAAAAACAAATACAAATTGTGATTGATTTATGGATTATTTAGAGTTGTAATTAATGAAAAGCAGTGAAAGTTACATAAACTAGCATAGTTTTCTTTTAAAAAAATTTATCAGTACCAAGGTCATTTTAATTCAGTTTTTATTTTGTAAGCAAAGATGGATAGTGGCCAGCAATGGAATCCAGGACACGCGTTTCGTCCTATTTGGGGCTCGTCAGCTAGATGTACCTGCATTTCAGAGTGGATGTTCACTCTGTAACTCGAACTCTCTGAGATGCAGGTACATCCATCTTTGCTTACCATGCTTGTGAATAAAGGCTATATCGAGTCAATA